AAGCTCTCAACTTTGCCTTTAAGGATAAGTATAAGCAGGTGTTCTTGGGAGGTGTAGACAAGCACACTCAATTCTGGAGGTATTTTGCTGGTAACCTGGCTTCTGGTGGTGCAGCTGGAGCCACTTCCCTCTGCTTTGTCTACCCCTTGGATTTTGCAAGAACCCGTTTGGCTGCTGATGTTGGAAAAGCTGGTGCAGACAGAGAATTCACTGGTCTAGGAGACTGTCTAGTCAAAATTACCAAGTCTGATGGTCTGCGTGGCTTGTATCAGGGGTTCAATGTCTCTGTCCAAGGCATCATCATCTATAGAGCTGCCTACTTTGGGATCTATGATACAGCAAAAGGTAAAATTTCGGAGAGGATCCGATAAACCTATTTTCAGAATTATATTGTCTGTTTTTGGATGTTACACCATGTCTGCCTGTAGTAACTATAGTTTATGTGAGTGTGGAGGTGGAAGGGGGGGTGTCGGTGCCAACATCAGTGACACTGCAGTGTTCAAGGCAAACCTTGGGCATATATTGATGGCAGCAGGTTTAAATACCTTTGCTTTTGTACTTGTCCTTAAAGGAATTTTTCCTAATGCCAGCAAAAAATGTTGCTAACCATGCACAATTACAGCTTCTTTTTCAGTGCACTACTGTAGTTACATTAAACTCATTCAGGTGTGTTTAGCAGAATGGGATTGAGTGGTGCTTTTACAAAGCACTTGTTTGTTAAGCTTGACATTTGGTCATAGAGGTTGTTGATACTAGCTTAAATTTTAATATAATTCACAGGGACAGTGAGTTACTTTACTGTCATTTATTTCTAAAAAGAGTATGGAATAGTTAGATCTCTTCTTATAATGGTCCAAAAAGAAAACTGGTGCCTAAATGTTACCTGTTTTGATTACTGAGAAGAAGATCCTGTGAGTTTCTGTGATTTTTTTTTTTTATTATTGGTTCAGCATTAGAATTTTGTAAAGTGTCTTGGTGCAACTTCGAAGTATGGCTTTACAATGTTTCATAATATTTCAGCTAGTAAAGTAGCTGTCATGCAGTGAGTTAACTGGAGGAGGATGTACAAGATAAAAAGCTAATTACTTTTTTTTATTGCAGGCATGCTCCCAGATCCCAGAAATACTCATATTGTTATCAGTTGGATGATTGCCCAGACGGTGACTGCTGTGGCTGGTGTGGTCTCCTATCCTTTTGACACAGTGCGACGTAGGATGATGATGCAGTCAGGACGCAAAGGAGGTAGGCTGTTAATTTGTGCAGATCTTTAAGCAGCACTGACAAGGTGGAGTGCTTTTTTCCTAACAGTCATCCCTCCACACTTACAGTTCCTTGTTCCACAAGTCTGATTTAAGCTATTATTTAAGCTATCATTTAAATGATATGAGGAAATGCAGTAGGGTCATAACTTGTGGTGTCTGTCAGGAGTTATGCTGTGGACTGTTCTTTATAGAATATGAAATGGGCAAATGGACTGCCTGTTCGCAATGATAAATTGAATGGAGGCAATTAGGGAACAGTATAATTGACAAAAAGAACACTTAACATTTTTATTTTGTGTCTTAGCTTTTAATAACAAGGCAAGAAGCCTTTCTATTGCCTGAGCTACTATTTTGTTACAGTCTTAAAATGTGGTTTGGAACATCACAAAGTAGAGAGGTGAAACAGGGCAGTTGTTAAAAACATCTTAGATACAGTGATAGGAGTTAAATGACTCTTTGCTCTTTTTCTACAGCTGATATCATGTACTCTGGAACAATTGACTGCTGGCGGAAGATTGCAAGGGATGAGGGAGGAAAGGCGTTCTTCAAGGGTGCATGGTCTAATGTTCTCAGAGGCATGGGGGGTGCTTTTGTGCTTGTGCTGTACGATGAATTCAAAAAAATCATTTAAACAGCCTAACTAGAATTGGAAATCAAGTTGAGCAGATCATGTAGAATAACTACCATTATGGACCATTGACCTTCAAGAAATTCCTGAGAGTCTTATTTATCGAAGCCAGATGATATTCGTAGATGGGGCTAGAAACTGACACAGAGGACTGATCCATTTCTCAGTAACATGCATGAAGACACTGAATCTGGCAATTCAGTGTGGTGGGTTTTTTTAGCAGTGAGGAATGAGTGGTGTTGGTGCTGGGTCCAAAGTGGCTGGGTCCAAATGAGGCAGAAAAAATTCTTTGCCTGTGGATCAGTCCCCAGTTTCAAGTCCTATCTTCTAGGACCATAAAATTGTATTTGAAAGTACTTGCTAACAAATCATGTTCTTTTCCACTTGTACTGAAGCACTATGTACCATTTTGCACAGCTGAACATCTAGCAATTTTGTTCTTAAATTGGGGCATTTTGCTGTTAAAACAATAAACATACTTACTCTGTCTGTGTTGAAATTATTACATAAAAGCTTTGGGAAAGCCTCTTGTTTGAAAACTTGTTTCAGGTAATGGTTCCTCTGATACACTTACACTGCACTCTGTAACAGAATAAGCTTTTTTTTAAGAAATAATTGAATGTGAGAACTTTGGTGGGGGGAAGCATGGGTTATACTAATAGAAACCACTCCCATTCTTTGTGCCTGATAGTGTATGATGGGCTGCTGCAAGTGGCTTTTTGCATGATTCTTAGAAATTGATTTGCAACTTTTCATAAGATTTAAAATGGGGGGTTTTCTGTTGTAGTGCTAGGAGAACCCAAAGTCCCAAGGACAGTCAAAAAGTAATGCTCTTGCCCTTTGTAAAACAGCTTAAAACTACTTTATTTTTTTCTAAATCAATACAGAAAGCAATGTGGCATTCATGCAAAAACCCAGGAACCTAGTAAATAACTTCAACTTCTCAGTAACTGATGTATTGTATTGTTGCTGCTATTTGGAAATGCTGATGGCACCATTTAGGATACTGTTTGGCCTGATCTGTAGCAGTGGTCAGTACTTCTGTGGAAGGTGAATTTAATCTGAAATGAGGCTCATTTTAAGAGGTGAAGTTGATGGGGTATGTGGGAGGGAATATGTGTGCTTCTGTGTAGCTGTAAAATATAGATCAAGGTAGGTCAGCCTTCAGTATTAACTGATGCCTCGTTCTGGGGGTTGTCAGAAGACCAAAACCATGTTGAATAATTTCTCATACTGCTGTTTGAGGTAATGTAATGCCTATGTGCCATTCTTCATATGTATATAATCTTACTTTTGTACTTTGTAATCTGCAAAGACATGTTAGGGGGACCAGTAAAGGAAAACAAGGTGTTCATCTTCCAGTCATGTTTAAGAACTTGCTCTATATCTTAAAGAAACTGTCATTGTATGAGTCGCTGAAGGCTGACTGAGCTGTCATGTTCTTTTGTGTGCCTTCTGAGGTTGCTGTTCAAGGTGAAGTATTTTAAATTTATTTGGCTTTGGCTGATTATTGCCTTCCTCTCAAACATAATTTACCTTTTTCCTTCACTGTTGCAGACGCACAGCTTTCAACATCTGTATGTGAGTGTGACACAGCTACTTTGTACACAGGCTTAATAGCAAACTTTATGTACCTACTGCAAATGTTTTTATCCTGTTTGGTAACGGTAGCTCTCTCTGGGTGTGGGCAGGTCATTTGATGTTGACCTTGCCAGTCAACCTGCTGTTTCAGTTGCAATTACACTGACTTTGGGGGTCAGGGAAGAGTATAAATACATTGCTTAGGTTTATTTTCTATATTGGTGGCTTGAAAGGTAGAGATGATGGTAGAATACCTCACATAACCTCACTGTGAGTGTGTGGTGACCCAGGCTTTGTGAGGAAGAACCAAACATGATCATTACTTGAGCAGCCCCTGAAGGGGGGATGACATTTTTCACCCCTCCCCTCCAGAACTAGGTTTTAACCAGAAGAAATGGGAAAATAAATCAATGCAAGTATAGGGTTTTTTTTTAAGTGGAACTGCAATTTACGTATGCTGTGGGTTCAGCATGTACTACTTGATGTTCATTTTTTTAGTGTGTGGCTTCCCTTAGTCATGCAGCGGCAATTTTCAATGTATGATTATGCAGTGTGGGAATATAAAAGGCAAACAATAAATGAGACTTTTAAAAAAAGCACCTGTTTTCTGCCTTATTGAACACTGGTTGAAATGTATTTACTTTGAAAAATATTTTTGACAGGAAAAGATCTGGAGTTTGTATAAAGAAAACACTGGCATCTAAAGCCTGTATTACTTTTAAAAGGCATTGGAAATAGTGCTTGCACACTTTGAAGGGAAAAAATAATTAAATATTATGAGAGATTTTATTCCAATTCTCACAACTGTTACGCTGACATATTTTTTTTAGGTTTTAAATAATACCTGTGTAAGTCCGTATTAATATTGCAGAGGTTCACATTTGCATTGGAAATACTGAGCTTGTGAAATGACTGATTGGCAGCCCTGCATGAATAGTTACTTTTGGCAAGTGTCATTTCATTTCCCATTTTCTGTCTTGCATAAAGCTTATTGAATGTACTGTGACAGTTTGGTATTGCTGGTTGCAAGGTTGAAGGAAGGGCCATTTTAAGCATGCTTTAAGTAGCTAGTTTCTGGGTGTATCTAAAACTGGTAAGCTGGGAAAATTAACTACTGTGGCATTCCTAAGCAGTCCTATCATCCTATAGGAAACCATTATGTTCAGAGCAAAGAGGCATCGTAACAATGAAGACAGGGAAATACCAAGTTTCTGCCATATTGTGGATGAGAGGCCTTGTTTCGCACTGTGAAGAAAGTCTCGGCAAGGTTTAGGCAAGTCTTCACACTAGGTGTTTGCAGAAAAGCTTAGCTGCCAGGCATTGTGGTCTTGAACAAAAGGAAAAAGAACACATTTTACTGATTTTTCTCCATTTTTTTACCCTGCTCCATTTTAGGTGGATTTTTATGGGACAAACAGTTTTATAGGTGATTATATTCACTTCTAGTCTGCTTTGAAGTACTCCTTGTCAGGAGGATCTGTGATTTTCTTTCATAGTGGAGAATCCAAGTGCGTTTTCTTTTTGGAAAGTTAGGTCATCTCTTCAACCATAGTTATTTCCTCAGTACAACGTTTTTTTGGTGGATTTATGTATTCTGCCTAAAGAGAAAGAAAATTCTGTAACATGCAATAAGCTACGGAGTCACTTGGTTAGAGAATATTTCTAAATGTTAGATACACCAGTACCAAAGGCACCTCATCTTGCTTTTTTAATACATAAACGCAAAGCAGGAGAAAATTTTAAGGACAGGTAAGGCTTGTTTAACTTAGCGAGTACTGATTGTACAAGTTATTTGTCAGCAGAAGGGGAAAGAATAAAAGTTGATGTAAATGCTGGACCACCTTAACTGAGATGATAAAGATTTATCCAGTGAGTATTGCCTGAGTTTTCCCATATGTAGGCATTAACTAGACTTACAGAGAAAACATTCTGGTTGCTATCATACAGTTTTGCATTGGTTAACCTGGAGTTCTACAAGAGTGGAAGTTCCTAGGTAAGATCATCGTACTGATAACAGGACTTGGGGCTTAAAATTTCAAGGGGAGATAATTTTGAATTAAGAAAAAGTAGGAGAGAGTACTGGGGGGGCAGGGGGAAGCGGATGCGGGGGCAGAGGGAAGCAAGCTTGCTGTCATGTTGAGGGTATGTTACAGAACAGCAAACCAAGATGGCTTGGTGGGGGATTTTGTGTAGGAAATCTGTGGGATTGGGAAGCACTGCAGGGCTTTGTGGTCATGGTGTTTTGTGCTGCTCGGCCATTCTCCGAGGAAAGTGCATCATGCACACTGAGTGAGTCTTGCAAGTTCTTGGAATATATTTAATTCAGGAAAAGAGGAAAACGAAGTAATATAGTTCTGAGTGAAGGTGAGGAAAGCATTTGGGGTAAGAATGACCAAAAAGTGAAGGAAGAGGAGTGGAATAAAATGGATGAGAGGAATGCAAGGTCTCTGATGCACTGAGTGAATTGGTTGGTAGGATCTTGCCCATGGCAAATAGGAAAACTGGCGGTTCTTTAACACAAGTGTTAAGCAGCTAAGTGCAAACTCTGTGCAGAAAGGTTAGGGTTGTCAATCAATGAGGTTTTTCATTGATCTAAGGAAAAGTTGTATTGTGAAACAGGGTAAATAATGAGAAAAGGTGAAAGGTTGTCGAGTTAAGTAGGGACGAAATGAGGAAATGCAAGCTTTAGAAAGGTGTTATTAGCAAAGGACATTACAGGTTTCCAAGTAGTTTATAAATACATTGGCACTAAATGCCAGGAAGAGATAGTCCCAATGTTCAAGGGAGAAGGAGAACTCTCCTGAGATAGCCCATTTCTGCTTTGCGTTCTGTTTTGAAGAAATCCAGCATTCAGTCAGTATTAAAGATATCTGAGTGTGGAAAGAAGACGTAGAATAAAACTAGGCCTTAAGACTAGATTAAAATAGGCAAAGAAAAGTCTAGAAACTCTTTGGACACGTGAGAGACGAATTATCTTCACCGTGCCTGTTGACAGGTATGCGGGCTTCACAGTTACTGCTGATAAGTCGCTGCCTGCGTGGAAGTGCCTGTGCCACCGTTCACAAAACCACATCCACAGAGGCTTCTGAGTTCTACTGGAGTGATTTGCGCAATTCTGGTAGTACATGCACAGGAATTTGGAAGCCCCTCAAGTTTAGTAAAAGCAAGCAATCTGGAGGGTCTGCAACTTTTGAAGGACCGCTTGCTACTTTAGAGCAATTACTGTCAAATCTAACGATTTGATAGACCACGGACTGCTGCTCTGTAGCCTTAGCTCTGGCAGCCTGAGATGAAGTGAGATACTGGCTACTTATGACCTAATGTATATGAGGAAACTCATCCAGGTTACATCACTACCTGCTTTCTGTTAAAGCCAAAGATGGACCAAAGCCAAAAAAGTTAGGACAATATGCTGGTATATAGTTACCCAAACGGGAGAGTTTTAGTAGTAATAGCTTTGAGGATTCTTTGTAAGGATTAAAGGAAAATTTCTGTGTCACTTTTGAAAGCCTCTTTGAAAAGGGTGGTTGATGTTGCCCACTGAAACACTGCAGGCAATAAACAACTAGCCTGATTTATTGGCCTAAAGTGCATCTTTACTTTAGCCAGCTGATGCAGAGCATTCCCCCACTATGTGGACGCTGTGCAAACCACTCTTCAAATGGACAAATTAGAGAAACATGAATGGTTTGAAGCTGGGTTGTCATGACATGTGAAGAAAGACTGGAAGAGCTAGTTGCTGTTGACAGTGTACAAATATGTAATACTGTAAATTGGAAAAGAATAAGGATAAGAAGTAATGGATTTTAAGTGCAGTAAAATAGACTATTAAAAAAACTTTCTAAATGTAAGGATAATGAAACATTAGAATAGACTGCATAGGGATGCATGTCAAAACTGTCGTAACTAATCCTATGCTGAAGCAAAGGCGGCGGCTATTTAAACTGATGAGACTTTCCAGCTCCACTTTTCATGATTTAGTTCAACAGTATTTTTTTTATGGGTACAGGTCAGACTTACAAAATATATATTCACATTGTATTATGATCATTGATATTTGAAAATGCTAATGGCAAATGCTTCCTCACTTAGATTATTTTCTTGTAACCAAAACTGGTACATGCAGAAATTACCAGTCTCAGTAAAAGTGACAACTCTGGTCTTAAAATATGGCTGCAAATATGTGCAGGGTAATCAGTAGTCTCAGCACTGGCGTAGAGCTTTTCTAGTTTCAAAACAGCATACTTTGCACAGGAGCAAGTTACTTTTTAATGGACCAAATTTAACTCTCATTTTTATATACCAGTTCTTCCAGTCTTTGGCCTATCATGGTTTATAGTCAACAAATTTGACTGAATTGAGATGAAAGCATACCTGGATATTTTCATTGGTGGATGCATTCAATTTGTCTCTTGGTTGTGGAATGGGAGAAAATATGCTTTTGAGACTGCAATACCTTTGAGTACAAAATGGGATTGTGAAGAAATTAAAAATATTGGTTATATAACTTACACAAACATTTTAAATTGTACCTTAAGGACTATTTTTACTTTCAGGATTGAATAACTATTGCTCTACAAACCACTAAGCAAGAATGAAAAAATTTTGAATGTAGACTGGTGGGTAACTAGTATTACGCTTACCACTCGAGTAATTAAAATTTGTTTTGTGATGTGAGGCACAGTGAATACTTTATTAAACGATTACTTTCAATAAATCACATGACATAACTTTCTTCCACCACTAAGTGAGAAGTTTTATCAAAATAACGACATGTTCCTTTGTCCCGATTCCTTCCTGTCTGGCATTGTATTGAAGCCAATGGCTTCAAAGCACCGTGGATGTTAAATGCTTAAAAGTAAGAACAGAAATGTTTTTGCAGGATCTGGTGGAACCACTCACTTACTAACTTTAACATCCTTTTCCCCTTTTTCACTTGTAGTGATTTTGCATGCCAAACTGGCGTCCACAACAACACTGGTAATAATAATTCATGACATTGATAATCAGATTATCAAAGTCTGCAGGTCGGAATGTGGGCCATGATAGATAGGAGGAATGTGTTTTGTAGAAATAATACTATAACAATAGTTTCTACATCAATATGGTTGATTTACCTTTTGAAAAGACAATATTGGAGTAGTGTTACTGAGATTGTTCCAAGTGCTATCAGAAATAAAATCACAGAAATAAAGTAATCTCTCCCTCGACCTGAAACATCCAAGAGAGAGAATTACTTAGCATGCCAAAAAGCCAACTTTGTGACTGTCAGTAAAGAATGCAATTTCACCCAATTTTTTGACTAATCTGAAGGACTTCAACTTGACATCTGACAGAACTTTGTCAAAAAGTTCAGGTACGCTTGCCATATTTTAAATCATTTTCAAACATTTAAAATGTAGAGAATTTTTTAAAAAAATCCAGTAAAGGAGAAACAGTCACAGAATAAAAAACAGAAAAAAAGTAGTGGAACTGTAAAAAGAGTGTTGAGGAACGGGTGAAAAGGAAGAGGTGGAAGGAAGGGGATTATATTCATGGCAAAAACTTTAAAGAACCGAAAGACAGCTCTGGCACTCTGGACCAAAGAAATGGCTGGGTCTATCTCAGCCTGTTCCTGTAGCCCTGGCATCTGAGAAACTGCTGCCTTCACAATCCCAACTAAACAAAGGCTGGTATCAACCTCCATTGCCATAGTACTGGAGCATCTCCTCCACATTAACAATTTCCCACCGGTTCCTTCCATGTCATTGGGTAAGAATTAAGATTTTATTTGTATCTGTGAGTGTGAGGGAGAAAGGGAGGCAAACATGTTAATATTGAAAAAAAAAAATCTATATTGAAATAATATTTCACAGTCTTACCAAACTCGATGGGTTCACTCCATTCCCCCCAGTTTGAGCTTATGAGACAGTTTTTTCCACGTGCTCTGATTTTCAGGATGTATTTTTTTTTCTCATTGTAATTTTGGAATTCGTATCGATCAATCCTTACCTAGAAGCAAAGCAATCAGACTGTGCATTTCACCCCATAAGCAAATATTAATAAAATTTGTGTTTTAATTTTCTGACACAGTTTCTATAAAAAGTTGGATTTTGAAGTTTATTAGGTCTTGAATTTGTTATGCTTTAAGGACCCTTTTTTCGTGTCCTTGTTTATGGATCCTAAAAAATCCAGAAGGATGGAAAGCTGAAACTGGGGAAGCACCCTATAAATTCACCTTGCAACTTTTATGACGATTAAGGATGCAAAGAATATTCCCTGAACGATGTCTGTTTTTGCCAAACAGACAACGTTTTTGAGACAATCCTATAACAGATACTTGTCACCTGGCCTCATGATAGAAAGTCTGGAATCCTCCAAGTCTAAGGTGCTTCCAGGGCTGAGAGGACCACACAGATGCAAGGGGAAGACTGACGTTGTGTATTAACTTCCACAGGTTTTGAAGATCCCGGCATTCCCTTTGTTCAGCTGTACTGAACTACAGTGGTACTTTTCCAACAACAGATATGAGAAAGAGAAGGTCTTTGATTTATATTAGGCAAAATGTCACATAAGTCTTAATAAAAATCACAATCTATTTGTGTGATAAATGGAAAGTATGAAGTTTTGCGAAGTGCATGGAAAATTCTGCCTAGTGTAACCTACCCCATCCAAAAGGCATATGTTAAGTTTACGCATAAAGATAACACAGGAGCATATTTTCCTGAATTCTCATTGCTATATTGGTACAAAAAATATAGATCAAGAAGTAACTATATTCTATGTTATGGTATAGGACCTATCATTTGTATAGGACAAGAATACTTACTCTTACAGGAGGATCCTTTTTCTTTTCTTTGGGCTCATCCTGCAAACCAAAGACAAATCTTCATTTTTATTATTTTCTTGTCAAATAATCAAGTATTTCTCCCTGTCTTGTTGCTCATTTTCTTACTTACAAAGATCATAAGTAATTTTAAACTGAAAAATCAATGGGATATTCTGCTTTAGTAATGTCCCAAAATATAGGACTTTATGCAGTGTTTTGGCTTCCTCCACTTAATTTGAGAAAAGAAAGGAAACGTATTATTTATCAGTGGTTGGGAGAAGCTGTATTTGTCTCTAAGGGCATATTTACACTGTGCGTTCTCATCCAGCAGAAGTATATCCAAATTACACAAGCAATCAAGTTATCCTCCATTCCACAGACAATCTGGAAGCTTTGATTTCACAATAGTTTGATAATGGGGCAGAAAATTGATGTGAACAGCAAATTTACCCTCCTTTCAGTCAAAGTCTCTGTTAGACATCTGATTGATCCATACTCAGGGGCTTTCCCCAAAGTACTGTGAAGAGCTATTTACACTTTTTAGCTGCCTTGCCTCTGACGGCCCCTCCCCAAAGGTGTGGTTACCTCTGCCGTCTCCACGTAGGTACCTCTGGTACCTCCAGTACCTATGGCGCCGTGGGGCAATGAGGCGCGCCCCTACCGCGCAGCTGCGCGAAGCCCTGGCTGCGCCCTGGCTGCTGTGGGGTATCTGTGCTCCTCTGCAGACACCCGCGTTAAGGTGTCTCAGTCTCTGAGATTAATTTCACGCCCGAATGTAGGAATCTACCGAATCCCATCCCTTCTGACTGTGGCATGGGAAAGAAGAGGTAACGTGTATTTCTTTAAAAGAGACATTCTAGTAATATTGTTTTAGTCATATGCTGTAACCTGTATCTTTACGTAGAACATTCTAAGTATTTCACACAGGACCTTGCTGTCAAGTGATACCAGCCAGCTGGAAAGCTACGTGTTGTAATTGCTCCTTGAAATAGCTACCAAGGTAGATTCTGTCAACGCATGCAGGGTACAAAATCCAGACAATTCAAACAGCCTGCAAGCTGCAGGCCTTGTTTTGAATGAATTAATGAGTTTTAATGATGTATTGCTTCGTTGCAGTTGTATATTTATGCTTAACCCTTAGCTGATCTTTCCTGTAAAGCTGTTGTGTTACAAATGCCCGAGGAACTGCCACTACGGTTAAGCTTCTGAGCTGTGGCTGGGAGATGGGGAGCCCTAAGTTGTCATGGCGCGGGCGTCATCCGCGTGTGGAAACCACGTAATGGTAAAATGGGTATCCCAGGCATGGGCAGGAAGAACGCTATTTCTTGCCTCTTTGTCAAACTCCTGGACTCAAAGAATTGTCCTGCCCTTTGTCCTTTGGGGTGTTGAAATCAGGTCCTTCAGGCACTGAGGTTTGTGGGGGAGGGTTGGACACCTCAGCCTCTCTGCTCCGTCGCGCTTGGTGGAAAGCAGCCATACCTCAGCGGGGGTAAAGCACGCGCTCTGTGTTGTCCCGCACTTTTCCTTGGTCACTGTGGTAAGTTGGCAGTGCTCTGCCCATAGCGTAGGAGAAATCCAGCTCACTTTTGGTAGATACATGTTTACATCTGGGGTAGGTAGGTAGGTAGGTAGGTAGATAGATAGATAGATAGATAGACAGACAGACAGACAGACAGACAGGCATTTTAGCTTCCTCTCTTACAGCCAGCGGAAAGAAAGCAGCACTGCAGGGACACGATTTCTCTGTCAGCTACTTTGGAAGGAGTCGGGTAACACCAAGCCTGACTGCAGAGAGAGCAGAGGGTCACTCTCTGAAAAGCAAAGGCGTCCACTGCGGGCGTCTGTGCCGGGCCTGTCTGCGCTTTTAGCGGACGCTGTGTAGACAGGCGGGGGTCGGGTTGCCTCATCCGGGCTGCCAAAGGGCACCGGGCGGTGGGAGAGGTGGTGGAGGAGAGATGCGGAGGCTGAGGAGGCCAAAACAGTCCCACGCGTTGGAATTGAGGGGCAGCTTTCCAGCATCTGCAAAATGCCGTCAGGGTGGCTGAAGCCAAGGCGCCCTGGGAAGCGGGGCGAGCGTGAGGGGCCCCGGGCTGGGCCGGAGGCTGCGGGCAAGGCAGCGCCCTCGCTGCAGGCTGCCATCACGCGGTCATCCCCTGCGAGATGTGCCGGTGCAGGCGAGCACCGCAGGTGGTCTCCCTGTCTGTGGGACAGAGACCCCCTCGTATCGTTTCCCTGCTCTCCTCGGCTTTTCTGCTTTGCACCTCCGACTGATTAGTTTGCAATACGGCCATGAGCGGTGGGATGCAAGACCAGCAAAGCTGGAGCAGGAGGACACCACAGCTTATGAGAGAGAAGTTAATAAATAAAGGCAAGAGAAGTTTGCGGGCTATAGATATGAACGTATATAGGTACGGTGCCAAATACAAACCAAGAATTTTTTTTTACCTTATTTTGTATGTTAATTTCATACTGAAAACACTTTACGTCTTCCACATGACTTGTATGGGGTGGTTGCCATGTAATTATGCAACCCACTGAATCTCTAGTACAATTGGCAGTGACATTTAATGGAGGAGTGAGTATTTCTGGAAAGAAATGAAATAATTAATGTAGACACGTTCAGTAATCAGCTATAACTCACATGTGCATAGCAAAATACATGTGAAATTGAGGCAACTGATGTACAACTGTGAGCTACTAATGCTAACAAATGTTATCTGGTAAACAGGAGTAAAATACAGTAGCAAAACTTGGGAATATACAGTTGTTGGACATCTGAAGTAACTGAGTTCATGTAAAAAAGACATGAAGGATTATGTGTAATTCCATAGTAAAAATCAGCAGAGTGCCATTTTCTTCTATGTCTAAATTTCACATTGACAGTGCCAGCCCCCACAGGAAAAAAGATGGAAGTTTTTGTGCATGAGGTGTTATTCATGTAGAAGATCAAGTCATCTGAGTTTGAGTGCCCACAGTATAGTTGACTAGGTGTGACCTAACTGTCTAACCACAGAACAGTGGCCTGTTCAGGTCACTGGTTGAGAGAGTCCCTTGGGAGACAGTCCTTAAGGACAAAGGGGCCCAGGAAGGCTGGACAGCCTTCAAGAAGGAAATCTTAAAGGCGCAGGAGCAGGCGGTCCCCATGTGCCGTAAGACGAACTGGTGGGGAAGGCGACTGGCCTGGCTGAACAGGGAGATTTTGCTGGGACTCAGGAGAAAAAGTTGAGTTTATCAAATCTGAAAGATAGGGAAGGCAACTCAAGCAGAGTACAAGGAT